GAATACAGCCATGCCATAGTTTTCTTTTTTGCATTGTTGGGCGTATGTCACATGTCTGTTAATATTAATGAATGTTTATGTAATTGAAAAGAGAGGAAAATGTCAATTATCCCGCAACATAAGCAAAATGAACGTGTAATAAAAAAGAAGATTTGCGGTCGATGCTCAATCAAAAACTCGTTTATAACAATGCACCTTGACCTGCTGATGTATATGCAACAAATGTCACCATCCCTTAGACGAATCGTCGCATTTTGTGAATTGCTACACACCCTTTCTTCCTACTCAGACCACTGTTGGTCGGCGTATGTCTTAGCCATCGCGGCTGAATGCTCAAAAGCTCGACTTCTTGGACGATAAAATCCAGAGCAGGAGTTTGATGAAGAGCCATTTACGGCAGGCTGCATCTGAATCGGAGCGAGATCCAACTGTCTTTTATGTGAAGCCTTCTCAATGGTCCTAATCGTCCTACCAACGGCAGGTCTGTGGCTTCGAGTGTGGCTCCGTTACCATTTCCATTGCTGTTTAATAATATCTGGAATGTGAGGAAGATAGTGGAATTTACCTGCTCCGGAGGGCTGTGCTAATTTCCTTGTCGTAGCTCATTGTTCACTCTCCGCCCATTTACACAGCTGAGTCATTTAGCGGTAAAAACTGAATTCAGAAAGCTTGTCAGATTATATTGGAAATATTATTTGTCAACTCGTGTGCCGAGGGTTTTAAACAATCAGCACTTGAAAATTTTAGCTGAACATTAAATCATTATGAAAATGCATATCAGTCGATTCGTCTAAATGAGGCATCTAATTCGAGTGATTTTTACGTTTTTCGACTGCCATTTCCATTATCAAACACAAGCATTCGATAAGATGTTTATAATGTATTAGTTGGAATGATACTCTGAAATCAGAACCGCACCGAAACACAACACAGCTTGTGTTCGACGCAATTCCATCACATGCGAGCAGCGTTTGCAATAGCATCACTGAAGTGGAACTGAAAGCGACATTTTCATTAGGCCGATTCAGCGAAACATTTGCTGAAATTCTTCTGGCTGCTGTTGGACTGAATCTGGTCACGGCGCCCTGGGGGCTCTGGAATCTTCGATAGCTGTCAGTTGGCCTTGTATACGGGCCGGCTGGTGATGGGTCCTCCCTGTGTGCCCGGCTAATGTTGCCGAGGTGAGCCGGCGCGCCCAATGGAGCCGACATGGCTCACCATTGATTTCCCCTGATGTCAGCCAGAGGGATTCGGTAGAGGCGTGCCGGCCGGGGCTGGAGCCGCTCCGGCCCGCCCGTCGGCTCCGACGGGCGGCGCGTCGGCTTCGACTGATCACCGGTGCCCAGCCGTGAATGACGCCCGCCACCCCCGCTCCAGGGATGTGACAAAAGACAGGAAGGCATTCATTCAGTTTCCAGTCGAGAGAATACAAAATAAAAATCAGCGCTTGCATGGACTGAGCATTGGACGTATGTACTGGACACAGGAATCGTGCTATTACACAAACATTCTGTATCTACTGTATCTATTACCTGTATCTATATTGATACAAGCAAAGATTATTGATCGGATCCGGGATGCCTAAGAAACTAGCAGAACCATCCAACCAATGCCAATAATGTTAGAGACCATGCATTGACCAGGCATCTCCATTCCTAGAAACCATGTTTGCGTCAATTAGCCGGTAAATAGGTATATTTGAAAAATAGTGGTTCTTGGTAAAGCGACCCGCTCAATGCACAGAAGCAAAATACACCTACACGAAAAAAACGCATGCAGAAGTAAATGGCGGACTCCAGGTTGCTGCGCCGTGACACGTGCCGAACGCCGGGGTACAGCGGTGTTCCCGTGGCGAACTTTAGATTTCCAATCGGCGTTCCAGCGGCCGGTCGAGAGCGGCGCTAATCCAGTGGAGCGTGCCCACATCACCGCGAGAAACCGATGATGCCCTCCGACAAAAACAAACTATTTATATTCGGGCGCAGTTCAAGTGTTGCCCACAAATTAGATGGCCCGTCAAACTGTGAGAATGAACGGGATAAAACCAACGTTGTGTGAATGAAACGAAATAAAAGGTTCAAGTTTGAATGAATTGGAAAGTTTGCTGTCACACTTGGAATTTGAAATTATTCGTTGGGTCCAGCTCGTCCTTTTCAATCTGAGTCGACTAGTGGCTTCGGTTGAGATTAAATGGCCCGATATTGAGCGCCGCTCAGAAGTCTTGGCGCACGCCTCAGGGCACGTCTGACGCTCCCTCTCCCCTCCCCAGCACGTCACTGGAATCTCCGGATCGATCCTGTCCCTGACCGAGACTGGAGACGGGTAACGATCTCACCATCAGTGGCGACACTGACGTCCAGCACATCAGCATCCTCTTCCCATCCTCCGCCTCTACAGGCCATTCTCTCCAGTCCCTCGCCGCCCAACTCCTCCATTAACTGCCGCCGATTGTCTCATCGCTCCATCGACCTCGTCGTCACGATCCTGACTCCCCCCTCCTTTCGACCCCCTCTCCCTGAGAGGGAGACCCAGTCGGTCCGCGCCAGCCGGCTCCAGTCGCCGCCAGCACCCTCGGATAATGAACAGGGGGCGACGCTCGCCCGTCGCCGGGTTCCGGACGCACGAGCCCATCGCTCGTGGGGGCAATAATCCGGATCGTAGTAAATCTTATGAATGGCGGCCGAACAGACAACGGTTAAGACGGCAGCCAGCCACATCTGCTGCCATCCAAAAATAATGAAGGTATCGATAAAAGACCGATGATTTGCATTGTCTATAAAAAGTTCGCCCATTCACCTCGTAGTGCCACATTAAGAATAGTGCGTTAATAATTTTGCATCGATGCCATGCAAGGAGAAATAAGTATTATATGAGCTGTTACAATGAACTCTCCGACATCCAAACACTTTCATCGCTCGTAATCGAATGCCTTTTTCAGAAGCCACATGTTTTGAGTGAAATTCATGCTTTAGCCTTGCGTTACACTACATTTGAAAATAAAGCATCACAGTTTTGGAGCACCACATTAAAAGCATGCAAACTGTGCAAGCTTACTGTGAAGATCAAAATTAGATCAAAGGCAATACCATTCTACGCATGCTATATGGGATCCAGTGACCTTTCAGAATATCAGCAAAGCTCAGGGAAATATAAAATTGACACACTTGAATGAAACATGTAGCGGAAGCGGTTTTGATCAACGGAATCTTGTTTTAAGGCACTACAACGATCCACCCGATCCAGACTTTTGCAGCAGTGATGAAAGGCTGATAACTGAACGAAGTCCCAACTTTGGCCATTCTCATATCGCCAAACCGCTGGGAAAGCCACTACCAAGTCGACCGAGTGACGACGGCGCTGATAAATGGCATCAGGGCAAACGGCATTCCGCGACTGGCTGGCCCAAACACCGTCCCACGGCGTCATCGGTCATGGCAGTCGATCCTCGGCTCAGCGCCGTAAGCCGAGCCGGCCCAGAGCTGGCAATACGAATTTAGAACCCCTCGCGCCATAAACATGTTTGGATACACCGTTGATGTATATCTTCAGCAAACTGAGCAATCTGCAGTATCCAATGTCCATGTAATCAATTACAGCACCCGTCATCCCCATTAGCAAATTTCAGATGCCTCTATCTCTCACTCTCCCTTTCCTCTTTCCATCTCCTCTCTCTCTCTCTCTCTCTCTCTCTCTCTCTCTCTCTCTCTCTCTCTCTCTCTCTCTCTCTCTCTTCATTTTCTCATTCTCTCTGTCTCTGTCTGTCTGGTTGCCTGTCTGTCTGTCTGTCTGTCTGTCTGTGTGTCTGTCTGTCTGCCTGTCTGTCTGTCTGTCTGTCTGTCTGTCTGTCTGTCTGTCTGTCTGTCTGTCTGCCTCTCTCTCTCTCTCTCTCTCTCTCTCTCTCTCTCTCTCTCTCTCTCTCTCTCTCTCTCTCTCTCTCTCTCGCCCCCGTTCTTCCACACTCCCCAGCTCTACCAGGGCCCTAATTGACGTATCACTGCCCAGTCCGGAGCGGCGTGCCTAATTCTCCTCTGGGCGGCGCGCGGGCGATCCGCGCAGCGCACTTCTCGGGAGCCATCCCCCGATCCCTCATCGGTCCAGGGAGCACGCCTCCTTTCAGGACGGCCGTCGGTGCCGGTAGGCAGAGGGATGGGAGCTGGAGGGAGAGACAGAGATAAAGAGAAAGAGAGAGAGAGAGAGGGGAGTGGGAGAGAGAAAGAGAGGGTGAAAGAGAGGGAGTGAGAAAGAGAGAGAGAAAGAGAGAGAGAAAGAGAGAGAGAGAGAGAGAAAGAGAGAGAGAGAGAGACAGAGAAAGAAAGAAAGAAAGAGAGAGAGAGAGAGAGAGAGAGAGAGAGGAGAGAGAGAGAGAGAGAGAGAGAGAGAGAGAGAGAGAGAGAGAGAGAGAGAGAGAGAGAGAGAGAGAGAGAGAGAGAGAGAGAGAGAGAGTAGTGATAACTCAGTGTAAGACGGCTGAGGAAGGTTGAGAAAGCGCAAAACTCTCAAAAGAACAAACGAGCAGACAGACAAAGTGAAATCCGGTCAGCCCAAGCCTGTGGACAGCCGGGCGGTTCGGAGAAGGGCCTCTCCGATGGATTTGGGTCGGCGGAGAATCTATGGCGCGAGTCGCCTTGAACTGTCTGGACCGAACTTAGATGGGCCTGAGTGCGTGAATTGTCAGCCAGGTCCTAGGCGACAGGAGCTTAGTGGAACCTAGCTGGGGCGGCGGATGGATACGCAGTGAGTTGCATCATGCAGAGGTCACCATGCCCATACCCATACCAATCCGACGTGACTGCGATCTGACCTTTCCGACAGCCCGGCTGCGCATTGTCCAATCAGAGCTGCATACCTCCCCTCTCGGCCCGGGTCGAGCTGCCGGTGGCCGGATTGCCTGCCATCTCCAGCAGCGCTCGTCGCACCTCGTCGTCGGCCGACGCCGCTGCTCTCGACGCGTCGACACCGACGATATGCGTCAGTTGGGAGAGCGCCGCCGGCGGCGGGCCAGTGTCGCTGGCGACGGAGGACCGACAGGCGGCGGCGGCGGCGGAGGAGGAGGGTGGTCGGTGTGTGGTGCTGGAGCTTCGGCCGAGAGAGGTGCGGGAGAGCCGAGCGGATCTTCATAGCTCATCGCCAGATACGAGTCTCCAAGCTGTGAATCGTATGGGTTTGCCAGTCCTCTTTCCACTCTCCGGATTTTGTTTTATTTTGATTACCTTGCTTGCTCAGTCGGCACACCTGTTCCCAGCACTTCCCAAAGTCATTCAATCGGCAGCCAACAACATAACCTCACCATGACCTGACCGTTTTACACCCTATCGACCTGAGCTCGTTCGTACCTGGTAATCTGAAATGACTCTGATCGTGATGTGCTGGTGAACTGAGTGAAAACGACTCTGACTCTAACACTTGCGCTGGTCGGTCGGCCGGTGATGGTACGAGAGTCATCACGATGAGAACTGCGTCCGAAGAGAGGATTATGAGTGTCGCCGGGTCGGATCAGCGAGCCACAGGCACATTGCTGCTCTGTCTACTCTTCACAGCGGGTGAGTCTGACGACACTTCGGCTGGCGTGCTAAGCCAGCAATAGCAAAGTTCGATGAGTAGTTAAAATACCCGTCGTGAAGCCTAACTAGCTTCTCAGCTCAGGATGAAAGTGAGCTAGCTGCGGACACAAAGTGGCATGAATTTATCAAACACATTCTCAGAAGGAAAAGGTAGCATTTTCTCGCACTCTAATGAGGCAAAAATAATTAAAAAATCGAAACCGAACAATCACAATGCCATTTGATAACATTCACATGAGACTAATGGTTTGACGCTCGCAGGGGCTCCTGAACCTATGAACCTATAAATGTGGTGTGATGTTTTCTTTTTCTAACCAAAATTTGAAGGCAAGCTACCAAAGATATCCAAGGATACTGTACAATCTGCCTCGGATTTTTTTGCCAACGCTATATTTACCTCTTGAACACTGGGAAAAACTCTTCGAAAATTTATCATGTATTGTGTCTTTGTTTACCCCTTTATGCTGAGTAGTGTGTGCTGTTGCCTCTCCTTGCCAGCCGCGTTTGCGCTGAAACACTGCAGATTTACCGACATGGAGCAGGCAGCCGTGGGGAATATTCAATCACTTGGTCTTGTAGTGGGTTCCATTCCCTCGGACCTCCGACCTTCGGTCGGAATAATGGATGTTGTTGTGCAGTTCGGTTCGCACTAGCTCCTCGCCAAAATAGAAAGGAGATTTTGGATGGCAAGTCTGAAGCTGCCTTTTTTTTCTAACTGCTTTTTTCGTTCAACATCATAGCAGCTAGCAATGCGGAACACACTTGTAATTCACTTACGGAAACTTTGCAATAATTAAGGCTGACGAGCTGCATATTGTATGTCCATTTCGGGTAAAATTTGATTTAGAATAATTATTTACTTCGCGATTCTATTGCATAACCGTAGCATGCACACAGCTCGTGTTTTGTATCAAAAAACGGCGGAAAATAGACCAACATGAGGCATATTTCAAGGTTTTCTCAGGGCTCGTATACTCTTGATAGCATCACGAAGCGTCATTCCAACATAAATGGTCAGTAAACTTGAAATGTTTCCGCCATCGCTTGGTTTCTGAAGATAGCACGTTTTACTGTCAGAAGATAGAGGGAAGAATATTGAGAGGGACCTCACCGGGTAGTAAATTGCCCGATATGACAATAAATGAAGATGCCACCGAGATGGACGTCCTTTTGCTTTACATGATTACGTTAGGTTTCATAGAAACCTTGAAATTTAGGTGTCATGTATATCGCATACTATGACACCCGAGATGACACTTTTAACCGGCGATCTATAGTGACACAATGCACATAATACATATATTATATGGACATAGACTAATAATAATTTACGATGCTCTAAATTGTAAGACCCGCATATGACGTATCAGACAAATATCAAATCAAAATTCGAGCTCCCATCCGTTGACTGGCCCAAAAACGTATAAAGCACCGGATTGCCGAGCGATTTTGTGGGCATGGCTGACGGTTGCTACGTGCTAACCACTATTTCCATTTTTCATAATGCTGAAGGTACAGAAGCGACCCCATATGGGTAAAAAAGAGTTCAACGTTTTTGAGAATACATGGACCATAGTCGATACCGGTTTCAGTCTGTGGAATATAAAGATTCGATAACAGCGAGTGGCGCCATTCGATCAAATCGGCGTTGCTGTAACGAATGACGAGCAAATGACCTCTTATCTGGTATGGTGTTTGTTTAATTTAACACTTAAAACACATTTACCTTTGGAATACTGGCACCACCATCAACAAACATCGAGGATAAAATGGCAAATCTGGGGAAAATATGACGCATTGTTAGAAAGCATATGTATTTCCAGAGAGCACATTTTCATTTACACTTTGATGGAGACGGAGATTCGCACTCAACGCCATTTTCCACTAAATTTTTAGACTAACATAGACAGCTAACTCACCTAAAAATACCGGTATCGGTATTGCATGACAAATTAAGCTTTGGGGCCTGTTTTGGTGCCCGATATAGTTTCAGGTATTTGTCGTCCGCATTGATCCCCGCTTTTATTTTTCCCGAAAGTAAACACACGCGTTGGGTGTTTTGTGTGGAGAAAACGCGACGCAGTCTACCCCGGTCACATCCATTTTTGATGTAAAATGAGTCACTGCACTGTCACGACGAGCAAATATGATCAGTCGATCGGCGTATTAATCATGGAGTCGCTTGTCGCGCCTCTGTCAGATGACGGAGCTATCCTGGCAGTAGTCACACACGAAAATTGGACGTCATTAGGCCGTATGAGAGCTTCCAAAAATCAGCACAACCTCAGCGGGGTGACGTGCTCGGTGCTACTCAGGTGGGAAGGATAATTCACGATGCTCCACTTCCAAACAAATTATCCATGATGTGCAATGTGCAATTTGCATGCATTATGGTGAAGGGCGCACCTGCAATTCCTCACAAAGTCCAATGCTCATGAAATGTTATAAGCCCTCAAACACTCTCGCTTATCCGCTTATCCCTATGACAGCGCTTAGACAAGGTGTGCCGAAAATATGTAAAAAAAAAGGTAAGAAAATGGGTTGCCTATAGCCGTCACCGATATTCGCTATATCCATTCTTCGTCGGCACAAATGATGCCTATTGCGTTTTGTCTCTCCCCGGCCCCCGCCATTGAGGTAGAGCTTCACTGAAAATAAAACGAAGGTGCTGCTCGCCACAAAAAAGACGCGATATTAAGTCAAGTCTACTGTGCCCTCAGTCCTCACAGCTTAGGTCAAGTACCCAGACATCAAGCTTGAGTTTGGGGCAAAATGACTTCGAAAATTGGACCAGGGCAGCACCAAGAGCACTAAGACGTTCGTTTTGTCAAGACACGTCGAGTGATGTAATTTAGTTAAAAGAAAATTAAAACGACGACATATTCAGCACTGCATACTCGGCAAACTACGGCTGAATTTCTGGACTTGGTTGGCAGTGTCCGGCACATGTGGGTGTGCCTCCCCCGCAGCGGCTCCTTACTTAGCCTATTGGACGGGCAGCGGCCGTGGCGCGCATAAGTCCAATGGGGCGTGCACGAAGCACGGTTCTGGGCCGGCACGCCACGCGTGGTGCCCGTCACGGAACCCGAGTTCAGAGAGGTCAGACGGTCACCCGAACGGGGAATGGCGTCCCTCGTCACCGCCGTCCGTGTGCCCTGTCACCAGCCCACCGGCGCCCCCAGCTCCAGACGCCAATACAACATAGCAGGCGCCCATTCGCCCTGACAGTTCCAGCGATCCCGCTCTGCTTGTGTTCAAGCTGCTGACTGAGTCGACGCATTTATGTCGCGTGCTCCTGCTGTGTGCTGCAAGACGAATGATAAGTGGCTGCCTTTGGTTCAGGAAGAGGGAGACTTCTCAGAAACTTATATTTAGTTTAGTTTCTTTGGGGACTATCAGTTTTTCACAGAACGCTTATCAAGGAGCTTGACACCTAGCCAACATATCGCACGTCATTTTAGATATATGGTGTTAACTTTTTCAACACCATTTGGCATCACACGATCTTAATTTTGCTTCCATTTAGCCTCCTTCAGTAAGGACTGTTTTTTTCGAAATCGGATTGTGAACATAACGATAAGTACCAACAGGGACGTGACCCAGCGCCCTACTGACAGGCGAAACCGATGAATTGTCTGATGAAAGGCAATCCATAATCAAGATGGCATGGGGATGAGAGGTACATTTTCAAATATACGTTGCTTAAATTGCATTTTATACAGATATTAACAAACGAATATAAACAAATCACTAAAAAAGAAATAAAAACGAATGCACATTTTATACACGCTATTCCATACAGCAGTTCGGAGGCCGCACTGGTCCTATGACCTATCCCAGCGGCCAGAAGGAAAGAAATGGCCTTGGGCCGGAAGGTGCAATGGCAGAGATCACCTCTGTAATGTGGGACATTTCCCGGCCGCCAGCACCAGGCTGGCTCGGGACTGAGCCGCTCTCGGCAGATGGACGTGTCTGGTCTGAGCTCCATACATGTTTCAATGAGTTTTCTCGACCGCTTGGGCGGATACTCTCAGCGAACACCAAAGAGCTGTGTAGTGATGCATACCCGGCGCACGTTGGACCGAGGTGAATCTCCATGGCAGCAAAAAGGTGACAGGTGAGAGAGGAATATTTCAAGAACATTTTTAAAGGTTGGAGCTTTATCGTAACAACATTTGTTTATGCTTCAGTAATGTTTCAAGTTACTTTTAATATCGGAGTAACATAAGAACAACGAGACGATGCATCAGATAAATTAATCATCAGAGTGTCATGCAACAATTCTGAATGTGACCGTTGTCCATAAACGCTCTGTCATCTGATATGCACCACAAGAAAGTAATTTATTTATAGGGACATGTTTTGCCACGGACTAGGAATCTCTTTCCATGAATTCATTTGCCGGCATGCCATATGGGCTGTATTCTAAGCAACGGTAAGATGGACGCCCCTTTACCACAGGCACACAACATAGCAACAACCGGGAAGGCTAGGATAGACCGAGATTGAAATCTGATGGATTGGTGACATTGTGTGTCGCTGCAAACATTGGGAAATTGTTGTGGCAGATGGAATCATGAATATAATTTTGATTCTAATAGCGCCTAAGAGATATGCTGTGATATAGGATTTCTAGAAACGAGGGTATTTCTATTGTATCCTAGCATTAACATTTTTCCTCGCGACATGGCGTAACTCCAACAAATCGAGGCGGGGTCCAAAATAGTCTATCAAAAATTATCCAGGCATGCTAAAAAAACGAAACACATAAAGTAGGACCAGATGAGGTCTCAATGTACGTACACGCGGGTACGTGCAAGGTTCACTGCTGCGCCCGCCCGGTCGTCGCCCAAAGGCAAAAAAGCAATAGGTATCAGTAATAAAAGGCAATCCCTCTACTTACGCTCTTTGCAGGTTTGCGTAGTGGTCTTCAGACGGCATGGGCCGCTATGGAGTATGAATGGGTGGCATAATTTTAT